GAATCTGCCTGATTTGTTGATAGTTGAGGCTCCTCCGAGAGTGATGATGAATGCTCATATGACCCAAAGATAATACTTTCTAAGCTGCAGGAGCAATTCCCAGCCTCAGGAGACTCCGTCCCGGATTGATCAGGCTGATTGATTTGTTGTGCTGTGTTCTCTATAACTGCAAGATCTGGGTGCTGTTCTGCAAGAATTTCAAGGTAGCTGCTGTTTCCACCATCAGCTGTTGGTCGATTCTCAGTCCTAGAAGCCCTTTCATGGCAATGAATCATTGAACACTGAGATGTGGATCCTGGTTTCCTTGCAGTTGAATGCCCATTCATCTCTGTGTAAGAACAATGCCTCTGAAAACATTCAAGCATACTTGCTTTAGTAAATAATATTCAACCCATTTTAGTTTCTAGAGCTGACTTAATCATTACTGTTTGTTGACTCTATGCGATGATATCTATATCACGAAGAAACTCCACTTGAATAAAATAATTACTGTAGGTAAAAAATGATATACCATATTGGGGATATAAGTGCCTGTTCCCCTCGACTTCCCTGTGTCATTAAAACCAAAAGGCGCCGATGGCAGTTGGGAAATATAAGGATGAGAAAAGGGCAGTCTTGGGACATATAAATCTCTGTTTCTTCGGTAAAAGTTATTCCGTCTGAAACCAACCAAGCGACGTAGGAAATCCCATGGGCTCCTGCTTGGAACACGAGAGGGTGATCTCGGAGGGGTAGTAGCCTGGGCAGAAGCAGGTAAGGTATAACCGTGATACCACTGGCCATACACAAGACTATTATAGTAACCATCGTAATCTCCGCTTAAATCAGATGCTTCTGATCTTCCAGAGCCAAATGCAGTGACAGGAACCGACACATCCGACCTTTGTCCCTTCCCATTCCTCTCCAAAGTGGTTACAAAGAAATTTTCAATTCTTAGACCCATGTTTTCATCCGGTAGCATAAGGATCTCTTCAAGAGTTTGAGCACCGTAGGAAAGAGCATATTTTATCCTGTAAAAGTTGCCTAGGAGATTCAGAAGTATAATAGTTAGTAATGGAGTCCTAAAATAAAGGACAGTATGTATGCTATTAAAAACTGTCTGAGAATTAAGTTGTCAAACTATTGTTTTCTGTTGACATATGCAAAATAAAAAGGAATTCACTTCAAATATTGCACGGAAGTTTGTAAACATTACAATTAAGAGACTCTCCATTAGCTAGACATCCATAGACAATTAATAATCTATTGTTATGAGTAAATAAAGTGAGATGCAACTTCTGCTATTGCCATTACAAATGGACACTTAATAACATCTTGTTGCTATTCATGATGATTTGCAAGAGACATTGGATTGCAGTTGTAAAGTGTTTTTTGAAGCTTTCAATGCCGAAAGTTACTCAATTGAAAACAATGACTTGTACCTCTGCTCACACATCGACGTAGGTTGTTGTTGTCTTTTAGAGGATCCACTATGTTTAGATTCTTGATGGGAAAATCGTGGCTCCTATTCTGGACAGCCCTTGTTGGAACAGAATATACTTCCTTCCAGTGCCTTAGAAACTCTGGGCTAAGCAATAGCTCGTCTCTATCATTTTCAGTTGTCTCTGCTGCAGAGAATCCAATGAGATCTCGTGTAAATATGTAAATTGATAAGATTATAACTACCTAAAACCAATAGCTCCTTACCCACAACTTCTGGAAGGAAAGATATGGGAACAGGTCCGCTAACGGTGACACAATAATTATCCCAATCAAATGTGCTATAGTAGTCCAAAAATTTATACAGGACCTGAAAGAGAGAATTTATTTTATTTGTGACAGTGCAGGTAACTAGAACAATGCTTAACTAAAATATACTTACTGCTAAAATATACTTAACTAAAATATACTTACTGCAGATAACTATATTTATACTTAACTATATTTATTTTATTTATGACAGTGCAGATAACTAGAACAATGCTTAACTAAAATATACTTACTGCTAAAGGACCACAAAGTGATGAGTGAAACCGATTGATGATATACAAGACCAGTGTTTCCAATGCATATGTTGAAAACAAACCATGATGTGCACCGAGAATTCGGCTCTCATAATAGCACCAGGCTTTAATCAAGATAACACTTCGTTTGAAAAGATGGTCTTTCCCAATAATTTGGTCAACCTGGGAGTAAGCAACATAAGAGAAATCTAATGCAAGAACTTTTTGAAGCAGATAATTTTAATAAAATGCAAGCAAGCACTGAGGAAAGAAACATTAAATGGAGTTGAAAGGGGAAAAGAGGAAAGAAAGGAAGGAAACGCAAATTCTCTTTTAAATCATAGAGACATCCCTGCCTTGTTCCTCAAGAAAAATAACAAACTAAAGATACTGGAGAGTTTAAAATTGAACAAAAACAAAAAAAAAATCTGCTTTTCATCAATTTTGATAATAAATAGACCAAAAGAACAATATTTTTCATGAAAAAAGGAACCATAAATATAACTGATGCATTGCAAGTGTATCAATTATTATTTACATATGGTAGTAGATGACTTGTTTATCATAATTCTAGCTAACTACGATTATTATCCTAAAATATTTAAATATGACAGATAAATCTTCAATTTTACATGAGACGCAATGCAAACATATAAACAGAACAAGAAAACCATAAAATTTGACACCTCATAAGTAAGTTCATACCTGCTCCAGAAAGCATAAAGCACATAGTCCAGCCATTTGATTGAAAGAGATGTCTACTGATATATTCTTGATAGTGCATTTCACAATCTTAACCTACCATCCAAAACATGAAAGGTAATAACACCAGATGATAGTTAACTCAGTTCGTATTTCGTAGCAGTCAGAATTCAATAATCCCCAAATTTGAGGTTAGATTTGAAATAAGTGATGGGGGAAAAGGAAACTGGCAATTGCAATGCATATGCTTATCTTTCTGTGTGGAAAAAAGAACCAGATCGAACCAAATGTGATGCAGAAAATTAGCAATCAACTGATATAGGAAAAAGCTTTGGGTCAAGGAGAAAAGATGCATCTACCCCAAAGTTAAGCGTGTCTACTTCTCAAATTCAGCAGGGTCCCAATTGTTATCAGGGGATCAATTCCAGAGTGTGTGTGAGGTAGTGTGTTCAAACATGTGAGGAACTTTTCATTTTCAGACAGTCCAAAGCTATGTTACTTGGAATTAGGTGCAAACATGCAGTATAGGCATGGATCTTACTCTCCAATTCGATAATATTTATAGTAAAAGATATAAGGAACCTAACACAAACATAAAAAGAAACAAAAATGATGTCATATACATAACAAAATATAGTCTTTAGAAAAAGATATATTCATGTTCATAGAGAAATGAGAAAAAAAAGATACTAATTACTAGAAAAATGTTCAGAATTTAGAATCAATATTTCCACTTCGTGTATTCTTTCTCTATTTGCAATATAAGAATGTCCACCATTGTCTTCATATTTATCATATATCATAACCTTTAGTTTTGAATTATTAAGTGTCTGGCATGCACATCAAATGTTAGGTACAAATCTCATATCCATTCCAAGGTCACGTCACTGATACAGGTATGGCATCAAAATTAAGAGTCTGAGCAACATAGGTTCTGAGCAAAGTGAATTACTAGAAAGAGAACAACTGAAACAAAAGACAAAGAATGAGAAGAAAAGTGCAAACTTGACAGAAAATTTTCACGGTTACTAGTGAAGAAGAAGTGCATCATAAATTCAATAAAGTAAAACCAACCTGCGCATGAATATAGTGGACATCCGTTACTTCGGAATCAGAGCACTGCTCTTCACCTTCTAGAATACAGCAGACATCTCTTGCCAAATCCTCCTCCACATTTTGATGGCTGAGGACAGTCAAATCAATATCTCCATCTGGAAGATATGTCTTCAATGGCACCGAGCCAAATGAAAACACCTGTAGAAAAAAGTGAGTAAAGGATTTCTTCAGAAAGTATCCTATAAGGAAAATGATTTGTAAAGAATTTCCCCATCTCCGTAGTTAGTTTTCAGCAGCAAAGCAGACTAAACCTATAAAAAGTTAGTACTGGAGCAGAATAACAAAGAAAAGTGTATATTAGCAATTTTCAGTTTCATATCTACCTCACAGCACCAGACAGGTGCATCAAAAGGAAGTGGTTATCAGATCCTAGAATCAGTATATGCTTTAAGTTAATGGATTAGTCAAATCTGTCAAATGCAAGACTGCTCAAGCCATATTATAAGAGAATGAGAGGTTGACTTTTTTGAGGTCTAACGTTCAAACATTTTAAGCTATTGATGAAAAAGTCCAGAGGGGAAAGGCCCGGCTTAGTGTAGACCATGAAATGCATGCCATTACCCAAGAAAATAGAAAAAAAATTGGGAAAAACATAAGGTTTTTCTTTTCAGAAGAAATATCCCTTCATATAGAATTAGGTAGGCATGAAGAAGAATCATTTCAAAGAGCATGCCACTAGGCAAAACATCATGTTGTCCCATGGGAACAGAAAATATAACCAGAAGTTCCTGAACTTAGCTGAAAATGAGTGAGCTTACAGCATACAAGGTATAGTTCCAAACAAGCTGAAAACGAGTGAGCTTAGCACATACAAGTGTTAGTCCTAAACATGCTATAGACACTACAAAATGGCATATAAAACAGGAAACAAGGATATCGGCAGATAATAACTTCTGGGAACAAAAAACTTGCCAGATATCCTTCGTATTGGTAAAAGGCTGGGTAAGATGGACATCTACAATATAGTATATAGAATGTTATAAAATGAGGTGAGATATAGATTATCTGAACCCATTATGATACAGGATCTTAACCTAAATTTCTGGGATGTAAAAAAAATAAATAGAAACCTATCTAGCCATCAAATAGAACGCGATCAGACATTGGCCAATGCATTAATGAAAGGAGTCCTAGGCCAGAGAGAGAGAAGATTCTTTTGTGAGCCGCTAATGTTAAACTACTATTGCTTGCCAAAAGGAAAAACTGGATCAAACATTTATCAACCCAGAACTCATAAATATGCGGTGCCAAGAAAGATCAACCTTGTGTAAATTTCTAAAGGAACCAAATTACAGAATAGAATGAACAGATACTAAAATATTAGAATTGTGAAATTCTCACCTCAATTCCATAGTAACCTTTAATTAGCTTCTGAACATAGTCAATAATCTCTCGCCTACTCCTGTCAGAAATATGGGCGGGCTGAATAGCACACAATATTTCTTGGGTCCTTTCCTCAGCCATCAGCCAAAGCTCCATGTCAATAGGCAACGGTACCAGGTTAGGCGAAGAAGAGGAAGAAGATAAACAGGAGGAAGCCGACGAAATCTCTAGAAGATCTTCCATCACTGAAACTACCTCCAAAATGAGAAAAAAGGAGTCATGAAAAATTGCCCACTATTGAATCAGTAATTGAAAATAGAAGCAAAAAAAAAAAAACATCCACATACCTTCAGACCATAGAAGTAAGACGTTAAAAAGCAAAATTGGAAGACCCTAGGCAAGATCGGAATGTGTCAACTGACACCAGCACTCAGGAAAATGTAAGAAGAAATTGGGGGTGATAAAAGAGAAATGTCATCTAGAATGAAGGATTTGGGAGAGAAATTGAACAGCAGATCTGTAAGATTACTGTCTCTACAACGCTTAGAATGCAAACTCCAGGGGCTATTGCAGTCTGTTTGTAGAAAAATAGTTCACGCACACAGACTCACACACATAAAAACATGGTCAACCCACCTTTTTCAATGCAGTCAATGAGGCTACCTTTAGGATAAGACAAGAGACTCATAAACCATTTTGAAATACCAACAAAATTTGGTCATTTAGGGAAAAACCATAATTAAAAATGGATAAGAAGAAATAAAAAGAAATTAATTTCCCTTTATTTTCCTTTTGAGGGAGTTTCAAAATGGATCTACTGCCAGTGAGGAAACATAACATAAAATGAGAAAAAGGGAAGATAAAGGACAGAGTAACAATTGATGCTGAATAAAAATCAACTAGAAGACAGAGGAATCCCGGTCAAATTTATGACCACAAGACAAAAAGAGTTAATTCTCTCCAATTTTTAGAATTTCTATTGACAAAACTTTATTGAAGAGCCAATTCAAAGTATAAGAACCCACATACAAAAGTTAGAATGGTAGGTTCTCAAGCTTTCTATTGGTGAGAAATAGCATGGCTCATATTAATTGACACAAATAAATTCATTGTTAGCAATTTCCCCCTTTAGCCTCTCTCATACTTATCCTGTCTATTCAAATCATGTAGACAAAATCTCAATAACATAACCCTCTTAAATACAAATCTCAACTTTCCTTCCCAAATGAAAATTTCCAATTATATTAATTACTTAGAATTTATAAATTATTTTGCCTCTATATTTTTTTTACTTGTAAGTGGCTCGACCAATATTTATAGAGGAAAATATCCTAGGATTTCTCAGGAAAATCCAGGTTCTTGTGAAGCCTTCTAATCCGAGGACAAAAAATACTGCTGCAGCTAATTTGAGTCATTGAATTGTCATGGCATGGAAATATAATTCAGAAATTAAGTTGCACAGAATTTCACATTTTGAAGAACATGTCCTCTATATAAAAAGTTAGAAATGCATTCAAAGTATGCTTTTTGTTCCATGTCATTTTCATTAATTTAAGCAAGATTGTAAAAAATACTTGTCAATGCCAGAGTTTCAGTTTGATGGACAAGATTTTCATAAAAAACTAGCTGATATTAGAGTTTCCTTTGGTGTTTGAGGGATCAGGCTCATATAGATTATTACTATATGGCCCATGGGCTTTATAGAAGTTTTCCCTCAATAACGGCCTTGCTTGCAATAGGAATTATCTCTGCCTACAAGACAATATATTCTTTCAACAAATTTTGTCATGTAAACAGCCTAAACAGCATAATACGCCAAAAGTAGAAACGAATGGAGAAAAGAATAAGACTCCAGGACCTCATACATCAATAGTACTAGATATAGCAACTTTCCTTCTGCCAGATAAGTTAGATTTCTAATTTTGATGTCTAAATTACCTAAACAGCATAATCCACCAAAAAGTACACAAGCAAATAAAAGGAGAACGTCTTTGGAACCCATCATTATGGCGTAGAATCCTAGAGAGAGAATATAAGTAAACCGACCCTCCATAGTTAACCCTCAGGAACAGCTCAAAATCACTGATTTGCTTACTAAACAAGCACAACGTGAACTTGTATCACTTTGCTACAAAAGGAAGGGGTGGAGAAAACAACCAAAGCACCGTGTACCCTCACAGGTAACAGTGCAAATGTTAAGTTATCTTTTGTTAAATCTTAGTAACAAGAAATAGCTCTAAAATCAGCAATTAAGCCTTGTAATTAACTCATGACTAAGGTATTACTGAGTTATTAATTTTCTCTCCGTAAACCTAACTATAATGCTGTTTTCTATTAAGCTTTATTCTTTTTAATTTATTAATTGCTAGACTACATGCCATCTGTGTTTGTTTCCACAAAGATTCCCCATATCATCTGTGAGGACCCTACTAATTGTTGTTAGGTTTGTCAGAAATACTTAGTTAAATTGTTTAGATTATTAGAATTAGTTTCAATTAATTACTTTTCAGCTATAAAAGGTAGAGTTGAGAATGGATTTGTATCTAGAAAATATTAATGAAATATTCAAACTTCTCTCTATACAATTCTTCTTTTCTCTCCCTTTCGCTTGCTCTTTCTTCTCCTTAAATGCTAATTCTACTCTCATCATCTTCTAAATTCTTTCTCCTTTCTTCTATATTTCTTCTTCCTTTATTTCTTTACAAGTCAGGGCAAGTTCCGGACATTATCCTTCTAAGTTCTCTAAAACATTTGATCAATTATACAGGTCGCTGCCACTTAGTGTTAGTCACAAGCATCCCTAATTTTTGTCTGTCTACATATAGAAAAAGTATCTTCAATAAAATAAGAAATGCATTCAAATATACACATAGAAGTGGTACGATCTACATCATAGTTAACAAATCCATGAATTACTTAACATTAGATCACAACTAAGAAATGTCTCTTTCTTCTGCAATTATAATTACAAATGAGTTTATTCACTTTTCTCCTGAAAGTAAAAGTCTACCTTTTGCAAAATTCTAACAGCCATTTACGCATCTGAATAGTAAATCATCACAGACTCCCAGCAGAAAAATAAGGGGAGGAGGAATAAAGAAAGACCTACTTCTTAAGAGCTAACACTGCAGAAAGATGGCATGATGGTAAGCTTCCATCCAAGCAAATTACGGAAACCTTCCCAGATACTTATTATCTCTAAGAGGCTAAAATTACACAAAGCATGCCCCAAACTGAGAATTAGTAACCTCCCAGATAATGGCTCTCAAAAGTAATTGTATGGATTAAAAAAAGCCCCGCGAATATATTTGCATTTTGCAACGCAATCCAGGAAAGAAACCAAAAAAAAAAAGGAAGCAATGAAAAAAAGCATTTAAACGAATCAATCACGCAGGCGTATTTTCTTGTTCGGATTCACAACAATAAATCTCGTTGGTGGATGACAGTTGCAATACCATTTTCATACCAAAGCGGATCCTCCACACAATTAACCCAAGTTGGAATTCTTTTTTTAGCAGGCATTAATTTTACAAGCCATTTTTGAATGATAAGCTTGTGCAGTACATAAAATTAGAGTTAACAAGCATCAAGTATTTGCATATATCTTATATATACATATTATATTATAGCAAAATAGGCAAATACCTGGATTTATGTCAAAATGGCTTCCTTCTTCTTCTCTTTTGCTTTGTCTTCTTCCACTGTTTTTCTCTGTTGCATAACACTTTGTTGAGTGTAAAGAGAAACACTTTCACTATAAACAAAACCCTAACCTCCATTCTTTGTCTAGAAACCAAAAACCCAGAAATGGAAAGAGGACAGCCAAGCTCCTTTTACATGTAGTATTTATATCCAAACCGTATACGTAGCCCCACAGTCCATAAATGCATCGAACCTATCAGGACACGTGGCAAGATAAAGAGACGACTTAAACATCATAGCACGATGATCAAGCATATCTGGACCGTTCATTCCATCATAATCCATCTCTACCTCCCCCAAATCTCCCCCATGTTACTTTCAATTTTCGTTCTTACCCAACAGAACACACTCTGCCCCAGGAGCACAGCCTCCCCTCCCATATCTTCACAGCGTGAGGATAGCTCTCCTCTGCTTTGGTACAGGTAATCTCGTCCTTACCCCGTAAAAAGTAATTGTATTTATTCTGTTAACCGAGTGTGTAGGGATAGATATTTTCTAAGTGTTTGTGATGATATAACTTCTACTTCGGAATACTGAAAATCGAGTTGTGGGTATTTTGCGGTTTGCTTCAATGGTATTTGTTAAATAATAACTTCTTCGGCCAGTATCCTCGCTGTATATACTATTCTTTTACTACTTAAAGGAAAAAAAAAAAAACATAAAAACTATGGCTTCAACCATCTCCTAGGCTACCGGCATCTTTCTTTTGGACATATGATTTGCCAAAACTATGGCTGGGGAATTTCGTTTCTGGATTGCTTGAGTAGCATATGTTGCAAGTCCCTGTGGCCAACTCCTCCTTACCTAACAATTTTTTTGGCGCTCAAATCCTAGTCCTCAATATCTGAAATTCAAAGTTTTTGGCAATTGAAAAGATCCTCCAAATATGGAGCTTATAGACAGTGTGTGACTTGAGTGAAGCCCAATATACTTTATGTTTTTATTAAGGTCACATGTTATATTCACAAATTATAATCTAAAAATCTGCTTATAGGCCAGTTTGTTGATTGCTTTCACTAAATAATCCCAATAATCTCCATTATTGTAACAATATCCTTGATCAATGTGAGAATCCAACTCTCTTTGCCTTACACTGTATGATTAGAGCACGCTGCAAGAGCTCTACGCTTCAAAGAAGCTTTCACTCCTACCGTAGGATTCCCCATTTCAAATACAACTTATATTCTGATTGGTGCACTCTTGATTTCTTCGTTCACATGTTTGTGCAGCTTCTGATTGGGAGAATGGTTTGTTGGTTCATGGTGCTCTAATAAAGCATGTTGTTTGAGCATGATCCACATGTCCAAAGTGGATTGATTTTTTTATGTATGCTGAATATGGTTGTCCGCGCTCTTACCATAAGGTCATTAAATCAATTCCTAAACCTGATTTGGTGTTTCAAACAGTTAGGTTACTGCACGCGCAAAATGCAGGGACATAGGTTTTGCAGTGGATATGTTTGAGGAAATGCCTCAAAGGACCCCATTGCATCCGATATATCTGGATATGCACAATGCAGGTGATGTTGGACAAATTAGGGTTAATTTGCCTATTAAGACAGGAAAAGACCTATATATCACACTTAAGGTTCTTAGGCATCATACCTAAGGGTTGATTGAGTCACACAATTAATTATAAGAAATTCTCAAAGATATTATCAAATACTTGAATGATCACTAAGTGAAATCATAAAACTATTTATAATAATTTCTAAATAACTTTTCTTGTTTAGAATTACATGAGGAAATAATACACTAGTGGTACTAAGAATGCTAATCCTAATAAGAATATGAAGCTAATACTAATAATTTTGGAGAATTACAAATCCTAATACAAATAGAAAAATACTAATAAGAACAAAAATTATAAGTTACTGAAACCACAATAATACTCCTTAATAACATAGACTCTTAAATAATATAGTAGTTTTATATTTAAAAAAATTATAGCTTCAAATGTATCTACACATAATCCATTCTGCATCAACAGGAGGTCAAGAGGAGCATTGTGTTTGTTCCATTTGATGCAATTGGAAGGTGTTAAACTCAATGTAGTGCCTATGATTTCTATTTTAATATAAATGTACTCATTTAGGTGCATTTGATCAAGGAAGATGGGCTCAGGCTTGTATAGGAAGAAATAAGATTAAAATGACAGTGACACGGGGTACTGACCTCGTTTATATGTATGCACAAAGTGGAGACATGAACAAAGCCATGAAAACTTTTTGGTGGGTGAAGGATAAGAATTTTTGCACATGGAGTATTGCGATGAATGGACTAGCTACAAATGATGCTGATGTGAGGTATCTTGAACTTTTTGCGCTTATGAAACAAAATAGGGTTTTACCTAATGGAGTCACATTCATCAATTTTTATTGGATGAGTAGTGTGGTTGGACTAGTTGAAGAAGGTTTCCAACATTTTGATTCAATGTGACGGGTTTATGCAATTGAACCTTAGGTCGAGTATTATGTTGCCATGGTAATTTTTATGGTCGAGTTGGACATTTAGATGGATCCATAGATTTCATTTAACATGGCCATTAAGCCTCATGTTGGTCCTTGGAGAGCCTTTCTTCATGATTGCATGTACAAAAATGTGGGATTAGGTTAGCTTTCCTCTGGAAGGATAGTGGAGCTAGAGGCCAAGAGTCATGGTGGCTATGTTCTTTTCCAAAAAAAAAAATGATGGCTATGTGCTGATTTCAAATATTTTTGCTAATTCTAAAGAATTGGACAATGGGGAAATTGTTATGGATAAGTCCCATTGATGACTGGTGGAACTGAGACCATGTGGAGGGTTATCCCCATTCTTTATTGTTATGGTTAATGGGCCATCATCTTTTTTCAAAAGGTGATTCCTTGTCCCCTTTACTGTTCATCATTATTATGAAGACATTCAACAAAATGCTCTTGAGTGACAGAGATTTTGAGATGTTTAAGGAGTTGAAGGTGTGGGAGCATGAGCATGTGGAGGAGGTGACTTATTTATTTTTTACTGGTGACATCCTTCTTTCTGCAAACTGAGTGAAAAGGGCTTTACTTAATATCAAACGTACCATGTTGTGCTTCCAATTAGTATATGGACTCAACATCAATCTTGCAAAGTCTAAGTTGGTGAGTTAAGTGATGGGAGGGATGCAAACAACTTGTCTACTATCCTTGGGTGTAAATGTATAAATTTGCCGATCAAGTATCTGGGGCTATTAGTGGGAGCCAAATATAAGTAAGTTTCGACTTGGGATTCGGTGGTTGCACATTTTGAACCACGGTTCTTTAGGTGGAAAAGAAACCTTCTACCAAAAAGAGAGGGGGGAGGATGATGGCCAATATCCCTATCTATTACATGAGACGAATGATGATCTCTAGGATCCTTGCCGAGAGACTGAAATCCATACAATCCATATTTTAATGGAGGGATTTTGAAGAGAATAGGAGGTACTATCTCGTAGCCTAGGACGAGGTCGAGAAACCAATTCAACTTGGTGGGTTGGGTTTAAGATCATTGGTGGAGGTGAATAGAGCCCTCTAAGGAAAATGATATTGGAGATTCATGGATGAAAATGATAGTCTTTGGTGGAGGGTGATTGAGGCGAAGTTCGATACTGTTGACAGAGGGTGGTTCACCAGGGAGGGGTCTAGACTCCATGGTAATAGGAATTTGCATGGGAAGGAGGGAGTTCCAGAACTACATCAGATGGTGGATTGACACTAGTGAAAATTTGCATGGAACTAGACTCCATGATATTGGAGATTTATGACATGATGCTTGGTTGGAAGGTGGTACTTTAGAGACCAGCTTCCTCATATTTATAGTATTTTTTTGATACAAGGATGTCTTGATCTAGAATTCCTACATTGACAATATGGGAAGAGGAGTGATTTGTGAGATCACGAGGAATCTTAATGATTAGGAAGCTGGGAAGTGTAAAACCCTATTTCTTGCCTTTGCGAGGGTTAGACTTGATCAAAGTAGAGATCGACCCCTTTGGAGCTTCAATGCTAGGGGAATTTCTCTGTTATATCCTTCTACAACCTCCTAACAAAAATGGAGGTCACAGAGTTTTCATCTAAGTAAATTTAGAAGGTCAATGCATCACTTAGAATTGCCTTTTTTGCATGGGAGACAATTAGAGGCCTTACTCTGGAAAGTTGATTAGGAGGAGAAATATTTTGGTGAATGACTGTTACTTGTGGAAAAAGGATGTTGAG